TGGCTTTCAAATTAAAGGGGAGTTCCCAGCCTTTGGGTGGTGTTTGCTTTAACTTCTCTTGTTAGGAACCTTGAGCTGGAAAGGGCTTTATAGCCAGAAAGACTCAGCTTTAAGGCCTGGTTCTGCCACTGGCTCCGGGACCTTGGGGAGCTTTCTAACCCCTGCACATCAGCGACCTCATGTGTCAGTTCTCAATTTACAGCCTCTCAGTCCTCATGCACCCTTCAATGTAGGCTTACTGGGAACAGAATTTTATTAACCATTTCTCTGAGCTAGTAAGCCCGGTGTAAAGCGCTCTCAGCAGAGTGTAAAGCGTTCTCAACAGAGGGCGCCGGAAAGACACTGCAGGAGGAGGACAATCCTTGGCATTTTGAGCATGGTGTGTGTGTGTGTGTGTGTGTGTGTGTGTGTGTGTGTGTGTGTGTGTTTGTGTGTGTATGTGTGTTTGTCCACCCCACAGAACCTGCTCCAACCACAGGGCTCAGAACATGCCCCATCTGCAGCCTTCTAGCCTTTCTACTCAGACACCAGAGCTCTGCTGGCCTCCTCTCTGAAGGGCCCCTGTCTGCACCAACATCCAGACTCCCGTGGCCCCAGATACGCAGGGCTGTCACTCCCTGTCCCTACTCCCACCACATGTAGCCCAGCCCATGCACTCTGAAGGCCCCAGCCTCTGCCCCTGCCAGTGTCTGGACTCCTGCTGCACGCTCACGCACCGGGTGCTGACTGGCTGCTCCCTGCCTGCATGTGGAAGGGCGATCCGTTGCTCACCCAGCAATTCCAGGCCAACCCTGGCCTGGCTAACCCAGTGAACAGCTCTGTCATCTGGTGGCCTGTTTACACCTTCTCCAGCTAGGTCTGAGCACCTCGCAAGCTGTCCTTCCTTGGTACTCTCCCTCCCCTTAGAGTACAGTAGGGTTTCCTTGTATTGTACTGTCACCCTTCTACGTAGCTAACCATTATTTATATTCAACTTCCTTTACTTGATGTACTGTGTGGTTGCTGTCTCCTGATTGGAGTCAGGCTATTCAGGAAGAGATGATTGAGATGATAGCATCAGTATTTCAGATTTACTCGGCCAACTCAATGAGAAAGGCTAGCCTCTGCTAATCGGTGTGGCTCAGTTTCTCTTTGTCCTAGCCGCTTCTTTCTTTTTGCAGAGAACAAGGCAAAGTTCGGTGGGATTGGAGGGGATGATACGGACAAAAGTGTGGTTAACCTTGGAGGAGGAGACAGAGGGTCAGAGAGGCCCACGACATTACTTGGGGTCACATATACAATACTGCACTGAACTGAACTCAGGGGCCCAGTCCTCGGAGCCCACCCTTCATGCACCACACTGGGCCTCCTTCTGGAGCCTCAGATGTTTCCCTTCTTTCCACCTGAATGAGAACAGTTTTCTGACTCACAGAACTTCCTGAGTCCCAGCACTCAGTCAATAATGAGACTAGCCGAGCAGCCAGAGAATCATTTATTGGAGTTCTTTCATAATGACTTCACCGAGAGATCTCCTCCTAAAAGAAAGGCCTGACTCACTTGAAAAGTGTGAGTCTGTGGTTTCCCTCTCTCTCTGAGTCAGCCTTTGAATGACACCCAAGGAGCCTGCCCCTGGAGTCTCAGTCTTGACAAGTACATACTGGGCTGTTAAAGTCTCCATTTTCAGAAAATTCCATTGTTTCAGATCAGATTTATGGGATTTCACATCAGCAGCACACCTTTGATGTGGTTTGTTGGACATCATTTCCGAAAAGCCAGCAGTCTTATGTTTCCTGGGTGCTTAGAATAGAACTTGGTGCGTAGTAGATGCTCAGTAAATGCTTGTCAAGGGGATGAATTTATATGGATTTGCCATACTTTTTTTTTTTTTTTTTACATATGTGGGGCTTCACTAGGCTAAGGTGGGATTTTATTTTAAAAGCAAGAGGGGAGAGGAGAGAGTATACCTTAATAGGAACATGACTGTTTTGGAAACCAAGGCATAATACCATGGATATGCTGATATATTCCAGTGACCAGACTCACTCTGATCAGAACTTATTTGTCCTGTGACTCACCCTCTCCAGAGGCTAGTGTCTGCTAAGTGTCAGCCTCTAACTCTGTTGTTTGGTAAAAGGCAATAATGGGTGGGTAACATGCCGATAAGTAACATAGTGGCTTTTTAACTGGAGCCCTTTGGAAAAAAATTGTCCGGTGCCTGCCAGAGAATTCTACACAAGGCAGCTACTCCATAAATGTCTGTTGGCGCTGATGATAATGCAATGATGACAAGATCTTAAAATAAAGGACTGACATAGGCGGTGGAAATTCTGGCCAGGGAAGAAGGCTCAGGAGAGGGTCGCAGTGTTTTGAACTGGACAGTCTTTCCTCATTTCTCAAATCATGACCAGGAACCTGCTCACACTTTCTATGCTTAATATTTCATTATATTTGTACTACAGCTCATTAGGAAAAAAATGATCCAAAAAAGCAGATGAAAGAGGATTCTCTATATGTGTTATAGATGTTCACAGATCGAGGTGAAACCATATACAGCTTAAAACTCCTTGACACTAAAACAAAAACAAAAAACCCACCCTTGTTTCTTATTTCACAGAAGCTATCTTCCTTGTTTTCCTTTTTCTATGATGGGGATATAGAAAGAGAGTACAGTGATGCCTGGGTGGCTCCGTCAATTAAGTGTCTGCCTTCAGCTCAGGTCATAATCACGGGGTTCTGGGATGGAGCCCCAACTTGGGCTCCCTGCTCAGTGGGGAGCCTGCTTCTCCCTCCCCCCGGCCCTTCTCATACTCTCTCTTGCATAAATAAATAAATAAATAAATAAATAAATAAATAAATAAATAACCAAATAAATAAATACAATCTTGTTTAAAAGAGAAAGTAAATATATTTTTCTTTTTAGAAACACCAGGATGTGAACCAGTAGTGCCCCCTGCTGTGGTTTAAAAGTCCCCCCCCCCCCCCCCGCTTTTTAAGTAAGTTTTCCCAATGTCAGGATCTGATGGAAGTCCCAAGCCCTTAAGATTGAGAGGTCTAATGGGTGACATTGGGTTGAGCTGTCCGAACTGGTGCGTGGTTCATTCAGTCCTTTCAACAGGTGCTTGTGGCACAGCTGCTGGGCGCTAATTGCTATAACAGGCCTTGAACACAACCTAGAATGGGAGATCCTTCTGGATGGGTGGGCATATTGCCCGTGTGTATCTCCATCCCCTGGGACGCCCCCTAGTACACAGCAGGCATTCAATAAATGTTTGTTTAGTCGACGAATGGCCCCAGCCCTCACAGAGGTTATAGTGCAGGAAATTATACTAAATTTCTTCTTGTTCATTTAGCACTTGTGTGCCAAGAAGATCAGAATTCAATGAACACCGGGGTAGCTTTAAGGAGAAGATGAGAGGGGAATCACTGGTGGCAGCAGGCAGCCTTGGGTGGGGGGTGCGGTACAGAGGAAGGTGTGGCCATGCTGTTGTCCTGTTTCCCCTGGCAATATGGAAAGGCATTGACTGCAGGGCCAGAAGACCAAGATTCTCTCGTGTGATTTATGGGAATGAGCCTCAGGACTTGGAGCCACACTGTGCACAGGAACATCCCAGGTCTGCTTTGTCATATCCTGGGGGGCTCGGCCTCCTCCCCTCTGTAAGCCCAATGATCGGTTTCTGCACATTTGAAGGGGGCTGCTCCAAAGCAGGGGTCTTGGGGGCAGAGATGGAGGTACTTGCCAAAATTTAGCAGCAATTCCCCTTTTTGGTGGCTGGGCATAAGTTTGATGTGTGTTGAAAGAATCGATGAGCTAAAAGTTTTAAGAGACAAGAATGTGGTCCAAGATCCTATTGCTTCCTTAAACAACAGCTGATGTCCCAGAACAGCCAGGGTTTACTCCTCACAGTGTGAGCTTCCTTCCTTGCTTCTTTTCTCCATCCCTTTTTATCTTTCTATCTGTGTCTCTCTTCCCCTGAATCTTCTACTTCTCAACGGACAGGTTCTGCCTGCCACAGGGCATTTGTTTTAAAGTGGAAGAGGCATTCTAGGATTTTATAACCTTCCCAGGGCAGAAATAATTGGCAGTGCTGGTGGCCAGACATAACCCTGTGACTTCGTTAGAGGCAGGCTCAAGGGAGAGGCTATTCTCTGTTCTTTAGTAACATAATTAACCAGCAAGCCTGTCATATTTTGGGGACAAAGGTTGTTCGTTGCTACCTTACAAGCACTGTATATTCCATTTGTTATGATCATGTGAAACGTACCTTTCTGGAGAGATGCACACAAGCTCTGGTGACTTATTTGATCAAAATAGTTTACATTCAGGGCACCTGGGTGGCTCAATCAGTGAAGCATCTGCCTTTGGCTCAGGTCGTGATCCTGGGGTCCTGGGATCGAGCCCTGGGTTGGGCTCCATTCTCAGCAGGGAGTTTACTTCTCCCTCTGCCTCTGCTTGTGCTCTCTTGCTTGCTCTCTGTCAGATAAATAAGTAAAATCTATCAAAAAAAAGTTTATATTCAATTTATTTCCATCTTTTTTTCCTGAGAGAGAGACAAGAAAGCATTAAATGGGGGCGCCTGGGTGGCTCAGTTGGTTAAGTGTCTGCTGTCAGCTTGGGTCACGATCCCAGGGTCCTGGGTTTGAGGCCCGCATGAGGAGCCTGCTTCTCTCTCTCTCCCTCTGCTGCTGCCCCTGCTTGTGCTTTCTCTCTCTATCTCGAAGAGATAAATAAAAAAAATTTTTTTTAAAGAAAGCATTAAATAATGACTGTCAGAAGGCTTTTTCTTATACTGGGGAATTTGACCTGGAGTCCCCTGGAACACATAGTTGCTTAAATGAGCCTTTCTCCAGGAGGTCCCTATCAGCTAGAGAGGGTTTGGGGACCAGTGTTTAGAGTTCAGTCATTTCCACTACTTCTCTTGTCCATCATTACAGTCAAGGATTAACATTCTTGGGTTTGCAGTGATGCCCAATTGTGGGCTCTCCTCAGAACAAGTCTATTCATATCACTTTCATCTTCCTAGGTGCAAATTCAGGAAATGCTCAGGGAGAGGGACTCTCTCAGCCAGTTGCCTGCTTTCTCAGAGCCTGCTGGGGAGCTGTCTGCATTTGCTGGGACCACAATAAATCCCTTCCCCGACGTAGAGGGGATCAACGAGGAAGACGCGTCATTGGCCCAATACCTGGAACTGGAGAGCTGTCCTCGATGCCCACAGCATGGAGAAAAGCAAGACAGGAAAGACCATGCACTCGGAGGTTCTTGGAAAGACCCAGGACATGAGCTGAGCATCCCAGATGCCAATCAGGGAAATACATGCCCCTGGGAGCTGTCAGTGCTTTTCCCCCGGGAGGGCAGTGCTGATCCCAGGGAGCCCAAGGCTCTCTCTGCTGCTGCCCCTGAACCCGCAGTTACTAGCCCCACCCTGGAAGCCCCATGCCATGGGCCAAGGGCCGGGGAAGCGGCCAGTGTGTTGGAGCATCTTGAAGCATGTGACCAAGGAACATGTGAAACCGTGGATTCTCCTTTTGGAGCCTCAGCTGATAAATACTTGCCTCAGGAAATTTGCTCCCTGGACTTAGAGCTGGCCAAGCGGCCAAGCAAACCCTCTGATTTATGTTCTCCTGATGATGAGACGCCAGGTATTCACTTTCAAACACAAGGCTCCGAGCTCCCACGGGCTCCATGCGAGAGCAGCAAGGAGCGAAGCCCTGCCATGCCCCCTCTTTTTACCAGTACTTTTACCTGGAACATTTCGCAAAAAGCCAGTGAAGGTGGCCCAGGGGAAGATTTAGCAGAGATGGAGAATTCCACCTCCACGTTGGTCTCCATAGTCCCAGCTGGCCAGGAGAGGCCAAGCCCCGGCGGCCCAGGAGGCTTGGAAAGACAGCCTCTATGTTCTGAGAACAGCTCTTCTGTGCAGCTTCCAGAAGGAGGTGTTGAGAGGCCCAGTACCAGTGCCCCAGACACCACAGCCACACCAGCCCGAAATGGTTCGGTTGTAATGTTTCCTCGGGAGAAGCCAATGACTTTAACTGCTAATCTCGAGTGTCTTCAAGTGACCAGGGAGAGTGGGGACACATCGACAGTCACCATGGCCACCAAAGTCTACCCAGCCAAATACCTCCCTGTTTCCATTGCTGAGAACCGTCACACAGATGGTCCTGAGGAGAGTTCACCTACAGCACCAGACAAAAATATTTGCCAGCTTCCTTCCAATGCACAGTTGGGTCATACTTCAAATGATTCCACAACCGATTCTCTAGAAGAGCCCTTTTGCATGGCTCCCGGTGGACCAGGAGCCCACGTCCATGTTCCCCAGCGCCCAGAGGTGGAGGGCTTCCGTAGCAGTTCCCCTCTTCAGACTGATAACTGTTCTGGAGATAAGAGCCTGACTGTGGACACAGCAGACAGTAGGAGCCTTGAACAGAATTTCCAAGACAAAGGAAGTGAAACAACACAGAGGATCCAGCAGGAGAGCTTACCCCAACGGGGTTCTCCTCCTGAAGATGATTGCCGAGAAAGTTGGCCCACGGCATCTGTTGCACAAGGGGAAATAGACCTAGTGTCCTTGGACCACTTATCAGCAACCTCCAGGGAGGAGAAGGAACAGAGCTCAGGCCCGGGGACTAGCATTTGCAAGGTGGGTGAAGCCACCGTGGAAGATGGGGGTCAGGCTCCACGCCACATTCTGCCTCTGTCTACTCTCCCCCTGGAAGAGTCCAGAGGGAGCGGGCCAGGATTTTGGAAAACAGGCAGCAAGCTGAAGATTATAACTCTGGAAGCTTCCATTCCAGAAGTTTGGCCACCAAGACAACAGACTGGTCCTGAGTACAAGGAGTTGGAAGCTGGTCCCACAATTCCCGACAGGGTCCAGGCTGCGTCTGACGTTCTCAAGGCTCACGGCCCTCAGGCCGAGTCTGGCTCAGCCCTTGCTAAAAGCAGAGAAACTTATAAGACCAGAAGACCAGTCAGCCGTGCATACTGGAGTAGTCTTTCTCCCAAGTATTTGAACCAACCCAGACTCCTAGAGTCATCTGTGGATCCTGTAGACAAAAAGGAAATGTATGACACAGATGTGCCATCAGAAGCTTCCAAAAGCGGAAAGAGGGAAAATGTTGACACTGTGAGTCAAAACCAAGAGGAAAGCCAAATCAGAGTGGATCATGCTGCCTTCTTTAAACAGTTTCTGACCCGTTCTAAGGTTGTAGAGTCCTCTGTAGATCCCATGGACGAAGCAGGCGTGACGGTGGGCGCCAGGGCTGAGACAGCAGGGCCTTCAGCATCCACGCCGGCTGCCACGGGGGAGGAGGCTAAGCGGGGTGATGGGCACACGGGTCAGAGCCTGGAAGTCCAGCCTGCCAACTTGCAAGGCCCAAGTCCTGACGAAGGTGGGGAAAGCCTTGCACACCGACGCAGAATAAGCCAAATACAAGACGGCAGCGAGCGAAGCTCAGGGGAGGCTGAGCAAGGCAAAAACAACACAGCAGAATCCGTTTCTCCCAGTGCACCTCTTTCTCATGGCCCCGCAGTGATAGCTCACGCATCTGTTGGAGTGGACACTCACAACTCCTCAGGTCCAAGTCATGATGTCCCTGAGAACGAGCTCGTTGTTGAGCCCAGAAACTGCCAATATCCATTTTCTGACTCAAAGGAGAGAGGAGCCGTTGAGAGTGAGCGTGGGAAACATGCACCCTCTTCCAGCAGTCTCACTCCATTGCCTTTTACCTCATCTAAGGGAAACATCACAAACTTTTCAAAAAGCCACAAAATCTGGGAAATGGAAGAGCCCCGCACCGGGGAGACCAGGCCTGCAAGCGCAGCCGGCTGCCCGGCCGTGACCTTGGCATCCATTGCAGGTGAACGTGCAGCAGAGAAAGCTGCCGAGACCCTGCAGTCCCCACGTCCACAGGGCTCCCCCCTGGACAGTGGGCGAGACCCAAGGGAGGAGAAGCTCGGGCGCCTGGCAGCCCAGACCCTCCGACGCCCAGAGGCCCTACCAGCGGGGAGCGGCTGCGAGGAGGTCCAGAAGCCAGAATCCTCGGCGAGTGGACATTTAGCTGAGGGGGTGAAGAAGAAAATCCTGTCCAGGGTGGCCGCCCTGAGGCTGCGACTGGAGGAGAAGGAGAACGTCAGAAGGAGTTCAGGCTTTCTCAAAAGGATTCCTAACCTTGAAACATTGGCATCGTGTGCAGAGGAGAAGCAAGATGCGAAAAAACCACCTTGCAAAAGAGAAGGAAAAGGTGAGGCTCTGTTGCTTTCTGTGGTTAAGCTTGGGTTTGCCAACCAGATGACCGACCGGTGCCTGTGTCCTTCCAGGTCCTCCTGCGGTTAAGGTGAGTGTCCCCTGGTAAGCGCAGGCCGTGCTTCTCAAGCTTCTCTGGCCTCTGAATCACCTGGAGGGCTCGTTGGAATGCAGATTGCCAGGCTCCCACCCCCAGAGCTTCGGGTTCACAGGGCGAGCTGGGGAAGCGTGTTTCCAACAAGTGCCCCAGGTGATCTGGAGAGAGAACCACTGGAAGGGGCCGCCTGGAGGTAGGTTTAATCGAGGGAGCGTGATTAAGATGACTTTCTGTTTAATTATCCTGTAAAAAAATATTTTACAAAGATAAACAGAAGCATTAATCAGTGCAGCTAATTAGTATAATTAAACAGACCACACGCTAAGCAGGATTTACAGAAATAAACATTTAGGTACAATTTGGGACTCTCTTCTTTAATTGGTGATTTTCATTAAAAACTGCTTAATGGAAACTTGGGGTTTCTTCCAAATTTGAGCATAAGACTTCTTTCCAACTCACCCTCCTCTTTTGGTGAGTCTAAAGTGCCCAGGGGTCTCTGATCCAGGTTTCTGACCACGTGAGGCTCAGGGCCCTTGTGACTTGCAGTCACTTCTGCTTTGCCGGGGGTGGGGGTCACGTCCGCCCCAACCTCCATCCCTGAGCCTGAATGTTAGCCTCTTTTATTTCAGAGCTTTTCTTTCCCTTCTCATGGGTAGGAGGAGTCAAAAGAGAAGACACTACATACAGCAAAGTGATGCCCTCTGTGTGTGCAGGAGCCCAACGGGGGCTCCTTTAACCTGGAGTGAGGGCTTTGCTCCTCCCGCACCGTTTTCAGACTTCCACACCGGTGCTCCTTATTCCCCATGCACACCACTGGCCCTCAGCCCCTGCTGCAGGCAGGACTCGATACAAAACTCCCTTCTGAAAGTTTGGGGGCATCCAGTCAGATTTCTAATATACATATTATATGTAATATGTATATTAGAAATGTGTGCAAAAAATTAAAAATCTTTTAAAATATTGCTTCATTCTCTTTAAATGTTAGAAACATATGTATGTATGTGTGTCTAGTATATATATATATATATATACTAGAAAGAGAATGAAGCAATATTTTAAAAGATTTTTAATTTTTTGCACACATTTCTAATATATAATATATAATTATTATAATATATATTATACTCTTTCAATGTTTGAAACATATATATATGCCTGTGTGTGTCTAGTATGATATATATATATATATACTAGAAAGAGAATGAAGCAATATCTTAAAAGATCCCTAAAGTGGTTTCAGCCCAAAGGGAAAGGTCCATCTGGAATCCTTGTCCGTGGTTATCCGAGGGACTGTAGGAGCAAGGACTCTCCAGGAAAGCACAGGTGGTGGAGTTTGCACGGGGTGTCTGCTCGGCCTCCGTGAGGACAGCGCTCTGGAGGGGGGGGTGCTCTCATACAGAGACCCCACAGGGAAGGAGTGAGTATGTGGGGGTGGGGTTGGAGGGCGACTCAGGACTCCACTAATAAAGCTGAGTAACCTTTCCTGGGTTCAAAGCTTTGTTTTCACCAGGGACTGCTCTAGCCTTTCTCCTCAACACTTGGCCAGAATATGCACAGAAGAAAAACCTAGCCACATTCCCAGGGCTTCCTTCTAGCTCCTTCATCTCCGTTCCCCACTTTGTCCCACACTAACAGGGGTATCTTTCTACAGCCTCTTGCCCAAGACCCGCATTTCATTCTGCTGCCCATTGTATGCCCTTCCCACTGTCCCCCCAACTTTCTGTGTTCAGAACTTAGAATGGGCGGCGGACAGGGTTGGCAGCCTCAGGAATGTTAAGGTATCCACAGATCATCGTGAGGACTGCCACCACATAGTGCTGGAAGGGCCAGGAGCAGGAGGCAGGCTGAGTCAAGGCTCTGGACCCAGAGTTTGAGGCTGAAGGCCTCGGTGCCCAGCACAGCTAACCCCCTACGGCTGTGTGAACTGAAACAGGTCTTGCCATCAATAAGCACTTGGTAGATTTTTCTCTCTCTCCCATCATATTGTTAGTATCTCCAGCTGCTTTCTAGTTGAGAGGTTTGTCCCCCGAGCCCATTATCCCATGTCCTGGGAAGAAAATAAGCTACTGAACGTGCATTCTAGGGCACCTGGGTGACTCAGGAGTTGAGCATCTCTTTGGCTCAGGTCAGGATCCCAGGGTCCTGGGATCGAGTCTTGCATCAGGTTCCCTGTGGGGAGCCTGCTTCTCCCTCTGCCTGTGTCTCTGCCTCTCTCTCTGTGCCTCTCTCTCATGAATGAATAAGTAAAATCTAAAAATAAATAAATAACAATTAAAAAGAATAAATAAATGTGCATCCTGTTGCCCAAGTGTCTGTGGGCCTCAAGGAGGGACGAGAGGCTACTTCATGGCCAGTGGGACCAGAGGTAAAGGGGCAGACAAAACATCAGTGTTGAGGACTCCCGGGTTGACAGTGGATTAGGTGATGCTTTGGGTTACTACGGCTGCAGAGTTGGGGAACTTGGTCTATAGAAGACTGACATCACGTTTGCAGTAACCTCAGTGCCACATCATTCAGCCCACCCGGCAGGGTTGGCCCCCCCTTGTCCTGCTCTAGTGTCCGTCCTGCTGCCCAGAGGCTGCCCTGAGGTATGGCACGTTTACCAGGCCGAGGTGCTCCCACCCCTGATTTAAAAAGGTGGTATTCAAAGAGCACAGCTAACCCCCTGGGAATGGTTTCCTGCTGGCTCCTATTTCATTCTAGAAGACACTTCTCTCCTGCTAATGAAGTTGGTATCAGACACCACCGCAATCCATTAGGATCTCTTCAGCGAAGGCAGCCAATTAGGGTAAAGATGGAGGGATATTATTCATAAATAACTTACTGAAAAAAAAAAATAAAATAAAAAAAAAATAAATAAATAACTTACTGATGAGTTGCCTTTCGTGTCTGGGGCTGACCCACAATTACTTGGACACTCTGGATTTTACTCTGCTCCCTAATCCCCAGCTCTGACTTTGACCTGGACCATCTGGTGATCATTTAAAAGCATCCCTGATAGGCCCAGGTTTTATAGACTACGTATCCACAGTCCCCTGCCCTTTTCTTTAAAAAAAAGAAGAAGAAGAAGAAAAGAAGAAGAAGAAGAAGAAGAAGAAGAAGAAGAAGAAGAAGAAAAAGAAGAAGAAGAAGAACTCTTTCATATTCTTTTCTACTTTGTGCATTATAGATCTCACTCGGGGAGTTTTAAGTAATGAAAAATGAGATTTTTCTGTTAGATTGATTTGTTCATTCTCTGTTAGGCCCGCCACACCTGCCCTCAGACACTTGGTTTCTTCATCTATAAATTGAGGGTAATAATTATTATTATCCCAATTCTTGGGATTGTTGTTGGAATGAAACGTGATGGAATGGGGAAGCCTTTTCCCCATTTGTGAGGCTTGTCACGACTGTCGTAAGGATACTGACCTGCAAATCTCTCATTTCCAGCTCCGATATTACTGAAAAAGATCCAAGCCGAGATGTACCCTGACCTCTCCGGGAATGTAAAATTAAGCTGCCAGTTTGCGGAAATTCATGAAGATTCGACTATCTGGTGGACAAAAGATTCAAAGGCAATAGCCCAAGTGCAGAGAAGGTGCGATATTTGCCCGGTCACTTTTCACAGCTGTTGCTTGTTTCACAACGTAGTTCTAAAAGGAAAGAATAATAGGAAGTAAAAAGGAAAGCTGAAGCCGAAACCCCACACCCAAAGTATCCAAGACGAGTAAGTAAGCAAAGACAGGTGTCCAGGCCGGACAGGCAGTGGAGGGTTCCTACCTGAGGCCCTACCCTCCCGGAGTTTTCTGGCCTCGGGAAGCCAGGAAGCCTTTCAATGTTTTTTTTTTTTTTTTTTTTTTGAGCTTTTATATTTGATCATGATGTTTTTAGAATCAGGATCAGGTCAGATCATTTTCTAGGCTGAGGCTCCGTGGTCCCAAGATTACAGAGCTCTCTTCTGTACGTCTGTGAATTTGGCTGTGTTTTCTGTTTAAATTCCTGTAAGCCTGGCAAGTTTCAATGCCAAGAAGGTGAATCCAAAGGGAAAAAAAAAATCAATCCAGGAGGTAATAAAAAGTGGCAGCTTGGAGGGTGATAAGCAGCCATTTCTGAGATGGAAAAATCTGTTTATTTCTTGGGCCCTGGGATGTAAGAGGAGAGTAGGGGGGTGGGGGAAGAGAGGAGAGTGCAAATCCTTGCCCAGAATACTGGTGTGGAATGAGCTTCTGTGACCTTGGGCTTCACCGGACACACTTGAGGGGACGTGGCTCATTCTCAAACACATCACCTGGTTCAGGGGAAACCACTATAACTCAGACAGTCCTCAGATGGGTCTTTCTGCCAAAGGAGGTCCCTGCCCCCCTTCAGCTCTAAGTCATGGGAGGTGATCCTACCCCCTTCATCTCGTTACAAGTAGCTTGAAAAAGCAAGAAAAATCGAAGAGCTTTATGTATAATTAAATGAAACACGTCTGCTTGGAGCATATGTCTGGAAATTATGTCCCAAATGCAACTCTGGCAGATTTGAGCTATAGTTTCTTTTCCCTGATATCACTCCAGGAAAGCTAACTGGATTGTGACAAATGAGAATAAGGCCTTGCTGCCCCCAAATGTTGCTATTATCCTGCTTATGTATGGCTTCAGAAGAATTGAAATGCAGAAGAAATGGCTTGATTTTTAAATCAAGGCCGTTCCCTAGAGCTTTATAGAAAAGAAGCACTAATTATTCACTTAAAGAACTTTCTCTCGCTGTCAGTAGAGGATAATTAACCAGTGGGGTTTGTCGCAGTCTTGCTCTGAGCTCAGAATTGGCACCTGAATCTTCTGGTGCCTCTGATCCCTTTTCCATTTGAGATGTTTTTAGAAAAGCTTTCCTCCCTCTGAGCAGCATATGACAGTAGTAGGCTTGCCACGTACTAGTGACCCGTGGCCAGGCCTTTACGTTCGTTGCAATGTTGGGTTCGTTTCTTCTTGGCAACACTGGCTCAGGTGCACTCATTTGTGTTTTCTCTGGTGACACTGGAGAATATTTGGGAGTCCTATATCCTCTGTATATCAAGAAATCACTTATATCATTTCAAGTGGGTTTTTGAAGGTTTTCAAATTTCTCTCACCCGTAGTTCCAGGTGAGTGTTTCCTTTACATGCCCCTCCAAGAAGCATCTCACTGCCTTGTCAAAACGTATTTTTAAAGAAGTTGAAATCTCTCAAACAAGAGTCATATAAACATGCAGCAAAGATCTTTTTCAACTGGTTAGATAATAAAGAACCAGTAAGATGGTAAGTCTGTTCAAAGGAGCATTTGAGGCATGGAGATTTGTGTAGTCAGGCAAACAAATTGCAATAAATAATACTTTTGCAAACAGATACAAAACTGGTTAACATTCAACAGGTAATAAACCTTGAGGTTGTCTTTTCTCCTAGACGGAACCTGTAAGTTGCAAGTTAAAAATGTCTCTGGTGGTGGAGGGCGTCTGTTTAAATAGCAAAGTCCCCCACAGGATCATTTTCCCATAATTAAATTCTCCTCGGATGAGCCCGTTAAGCTGTGACGTATGAAAGGCAGGAAAAGGCCTCCAAGGTTCTCTATCAAGTATCAGAGAATCAGGGAGTTTCTGGGTCAGAAGAAAGATGTTCACGGGGCAATTCTAGTTCAGCCTGCAGCCTTTCTGGTGGGTCTTGGGGACAGAAATGCTGTGCTGACCAGTAGGCCACAGAGAAAGACACTGCCCTAGCCCTTCTGTGACTCAGTGTTTCCCAGCCCAACAGGAAATCTTCCCCTCATAACTGGACCCGTCCTCTTCCAACCATACATTCAGCTTGTGTTCAGAGGCCACATTAGACAATGTATTATGATTTCATGGATTTGTTTTAAGCCATTGGTGCAGGAAACATGGGTAAATCAGAGACTTGATGTCCCTTGAAAAACCAACTGATAGTGAATACTCTGTTGAATGAGACATTGAGACAGAGTCAAGACAAGTGGAAGGTGGGGTTGAACTGTGAAATGATCCAAAACTGAAACAGACCCTGCACACACACACACACACACACACACACACCTGGTGAATGTTTAACCACATTCATTACACAGAACAAAGCTGCAACCCTATTTAGTGTAATTTTTGGGCTACAAAGTCAGTTTTTAATTTGTGACTTTGGAATAAAGATTGGGCATTAGCCATAATTCCCATTATCCCAGGTGGGGAGGGCGGTGGTCACAAACCACCTGGGGAGGCTGCATAATGAGATCAAGATGAGGACTCCAGACTCAGGCTTTCTTGGTTCAAGTCTCAGCACAACCCTTATCAGCTATGTGACCTTAGGTCATATACCTGGTCTCTGTATGCCTCAGTTCCCTCATCTGGGAAGTGGGAATAGTAATACTACTTCTCTCATTAGATTGATCTGTGCATGACATGAAGTAGAGGTGTAAGTCATTAGCACAGTGCCTGGCGTGTACCAAGCGCTCAGTACCCGTTAGCTATCGTCATCGTCATTGTCATCATCACTACCACCGCTGGGTTTTTTGTTCATAGCGCAGTGTCTGGAACTTAATAATGTTGAGTGGGTGGGAGGGCGGATGGATAGATGGTTTTGATTCACTAGGGGAGAACCCTATTTAAAAAATGCCCTCAGCCACGTGTCTTTATTTACAGCAGAGACCTCCTTTTTTTGTCCCTTATATCCCTTATGGCCCTGTGTTTAGATTTGGGTTTGGAATTTTTAGGTTTCTTTTAAGCACAGGGCACGGGGATTAGTAACATAACTGAGGTGAATTCTGAGCCAGAAACGTTAATGACAGCTCCCAGAATTCGCATTTCTGGTTCTTTGCTCTACTAGCAGCAGCCAAACCTCCCAAATGTTTCTGTATTAATATTGTATGTTGGAGTGAGTGAGGATGTTAAACCAAAATTGGACTGATGATCATCATCCCCTACAGATAAATGAATTATTTAAACAGCTTATCGAGATCTTGTTCTTTAGCCAGCTCCCTGGCCCAAACCATTAGGACAGGGAAGCATGTGTTTCTTTATCCCTAAATATATTAGAAAAATCCAACCTCAGAACGATGAAGCGTTCAAACATTCATGTCTCCTATTGCAGTGCAGGCGACAACTCCACTGTGTCCTTGGCCATCGTTCAAGCTGGTCAGAAGGACCAGGGCATCTATTACTGCTGCATCAAGAACAGTTATGGAAAGGTGACCACTGAGTTCAACCTGACAGCTGAAGGTAAGCCTCAGATGCTCCGTTTCAGGCGAAAACCATGAGCTGTACCCCCACTCCAGTTCAGAATGCCCATGCCTACTCAAGGCACTCTCTTCTTTGTCTTCTAGTTCTGAAGCAACTCAAGAGTCACCAGGATATTAAAGGTAAGCTAACCCGATTTAGATGTCCAAGGACGTGGGCACTCCACCAAAGCATGTAATAGCTCCTAGGATCAATGGAGAAGCAGTCTTCCCATCGCCTCTTCTAACCAAGTTGGAGATAGCGAAGGAATGACTGAGAAAATGAATGACCACTCATGAGCTAATTCAAGCTACTTACAAGGCCTATAGTCAGTGCACAAGGCTACAAATATCCAGAAGTATAGTGTTTATGATCCGACTCTAGCGTGCAGTAGTGAGGGCATGCTGGTGGGGCTTTGGGGTAAGATGTCTTCCTTTAGGCCTCAGATTTGCATCCAGCCCCACTGCAGGGGGTTGTCAGCCTTTTGTGTCTTACCTTGTAGTTTGACCAACAGAGCAGATTCCAAAGACAGGTGTGGAGGAGAGTATCTCCATTCGTTTGCATCTTTTTTCTTAAAGAATTTATTTATTTATTCATGAGGACACACAGAGAGAGGCAGAAACACAGGCAGAGGGAGAAGCAGGCTCCCTGTAGGGAGCTCAATGTGGGACTCCATCCCAGGACCCTGGGATCACACCCTGAGTCAAACGCAGATAGAGATGCTCAACCACTGAGCCACCCAGGCGTCCCCATTCATTTGCATCTTAATGAAAATGAAAGATGGGGTTTGGTGCTTCCCTTTGGCGGTTTGGCGCTGGTGTGGCAACAGAGAGACAACTGCTCCTGAACCGTCACTGGACCACCCACTGAATACAGCTTGGTGGAGTCCAAGCTTGGTTGGCATGGATTTCCTCTTAGGGAGAACTACCTGTCTCCCCACCCACATGCCCAGCCCCACCCAGTGGTGTGCTGGGAAATGCTTAACGACCTGCCCATTGTTAAGTGAGGGTGGGGAGGCCCTGATTTCTAATTTCTGTGATGTAAATACTCTCACCACAGCCCATTTTAAACTGCCAGTGTGATGTCGAGAAAACATGGAGCCAGGATGAGATGCACCCCCAGCAGCTCTCAGGAGCTGGAGTGAGCTGGCTGCAGCCCCCTCTGCACGCCTGCCTCACCCTCACCCACGAGACCCCAGCTTTTAGTACCTCATAGGAGCTTTGGTCCTTTAGAAGAGATGTGAGGAAAACTGACAACTTGGTTGGTTTAGTGTCATAAAGAAATTTACCCCATGTGAGGGATTTTTAGATGAAAAAACACTTGAAATCCTTGTGAAGAAAAAGCAGTAAATGCAATTATGATGGGGGAGCATCATAGATCATACACCAAGGAGCTGGGATCTTGACTTAGAAATGGTCTAACAAATACGCATCAGGGCGTTTATCCAACACAGCACATACAGGATCTTTGTAAACCTATTCAAATGTATTTACTATGCAGTGTACTTGTATAATTTTAGATTCTTTTTCCATGTCTGCCCCCATCTCCCAGAAGTCTAAATATGCAAAAAAGGATGTCTTTCCTCCTTAGAAAAAGAAAACAAAATGATTTTCAGAAGGCTTTCTCTGTTTCATCAGCTTCTTAGCATTGCTTGGCACTCACATTTCAGATACTTGCTATGACCCCGCTCATATTCAGGTTCACATAAACTCATTTTTCTAGGTTTTTACCAGTTAGGAATGAGACCCCAGTGGGGATGAGCTGCTGGCCACCTGGGGGGAAATGGTGCTGCAGGTGTAGCGCTGTGACTCCAACCAGAGGGCTTGGGTCTAGACCCAATGACCTCACCTATTCCCAGTGTCAGACCCCCTATGACCGGGACTCTCATGGGACTGGGGAGCCCATACTTCCCTCCCTGTCCCCTTGATCTTTCATGCGAAGAAACTTCAAACAGCTTCTTTACCACCTTTCTTATTTGGAGGAGTCCCTCTCACTAAACATTTCATTGGCTGAGTTCTCCAGAGGAGGAATAAATAATATTTTACAAGTTGGTCTCTAATTAAGAAACTAATAAAACCAAGCTTGTGGGAAAGCCCAAAATGAATGATGGTCCAAGTAAAACACAAGCTAGCCCAATTTAATGATAGCACACAGGGCTTTCAAAGAAAAGTCCTAAGATTTATTTTTCTCTCCCTTTCATTGTTTTATCTTTGCTAAGGAGACAATTTTGTTGGAAATTATAGATAGGACTGTTAATTATACCCAATATAGTAATATACAAAATATTTCCCTTCTTATTTCTAGGCATGTAGTCTGGAACAACTTTTGTGTTAAATTTGATGCATTTGTAAGCACTCAGTTCACAATTTTCTGTTAAGAATAATTGAGTTTTAGAAATTTGGGGGATTATGAAGAAAAACAGAATGGGGTAAATATAGCTCATATTTGTTGGGCTCTGGTATGTCCATGTAGAACACTTCTTATTTTCTTTAAGTGGTATTAGGGCCAAATTTTTAACATGAAATTACTCATGTAACTAGAATTGAGAAGATTTGGGTTATATAAAAAGAATCCCTTCTTTGTTTTGTGATCCAATTTTAAAATTTAACTTAAAAAATACTTTTCTCCATAAATTAATTTTTTTCCTGGTTCTACTACTAAGGCTGAAATCTTACAATGATTTCCTTAAAATTTGCCTGGGAGGCGCCTGGGTGGCACAGTTGGTTGGGCGACCAGCTGTTGGTTTCAGCTTGAATCATGATCTCAGGGTCTTCAGATTGAGCCCCATGTCAGAACCTATGCTCAGCACAGAGCCCACTTGGGTTTCTCTCTCTCCCTCTCCTTCTGCCTTCTGCGTGGGGATGCCCGTTAGCCAAGGAGCAGCTGGGGGGCGGAGGGTATTCCGCGGGGCTAAAGGTGAGCTGTGTTTTAGGATGTGAAGAGATTGAATTCAGCCAACTCATCTTCAGGGAAGACTTCCTCAGCGACAGCTACTTTGGGGACCACCTGCACGGTCAGATCGCCACGGAGGAGCTGCATTTTGGAGAAGGGGTCCACCGCAAAGCCTTCCGCAGCAAAGTCATGCGGGGCCTCATGCCTGTCTTCCAGCCCGGCCACGCCTGTGTCCTCAAGGTGCACAACGCCGTTGCCTACGGGACCAGGAACAACGCTGAGCTCATCCAGAGGAACTACAGACTCGCTGCCCAGGTGGGGCCCCCTGCCCTAAAGAGTCACTATACGGGGGGCATGAGAGGGATGTGGGAGAGCCTGGGATGAAAGTCAGACTCAGAATTGTTGGGAGTGTCTCTCCCTTTGGGGTGCGGTTGTAAGGGAGCCCCTGATCAAGCCCCGAAAGCCGGGAACCCTGGCTGAGTTCTTGGGGGCAATTTCTTGCCCTCATGCCAGCCAGATAGGAGGGATTCAGCCTATGTCTGGAGGGCCCTCACCTGTTCTGACCTCGGCTGGGGTTACTTCCACTCTGAGGGAGCCCTGTGAGGTTCTTGAAGGTTTGGGACCACTTGGACACAGGATGTTATGGAAAGTGGGGATTCCAAGTTACGTGGGATGCCAGGATTCCCACGCATTCCCAAGGCAGCAGCTTCTAGATTGGTTTGGTTTGGTTTATGGAGGGGGGTAGGATATATTCAGAAGGTTCAACATTTGTCCTTTTTCCTGCCTTTCTGAGTTTGGGTCAATGTCAGCCTATAAGCTATGATGGGAGATTGAGCCAAGACTCCAACTAAGTTCCCGCCTCCCTGTGCTATTGAGTCACAAGATCTTGAGGCAAGAAGGGAGCATGGGCTTCCCTCCCTGCCCCTCCTCCCACTTTGGCCCACGTATTTCACTCTTACCACCAGCACTGGCCAAGCTTTCAGGAGCGCTGGGTCTAGCTTTTTCACAAACAAGGTGCCCTCCTAAAACTGTTACCTGTAAAAGGAATAAGTTAGATTTTTAAAAAGATTTTATTTATTTGTTCATGAGAGACACACACAGAGAGAGAAGCAGAGACACAGGCAGAGGGAGAAGCAGGCTCCCCATAGGAAGTCCGATGAGGGACTCGATCCCGGGACTCCAGGATCATGCCCTGGGTAGAAGAAAGGCACTAAATCGCCGAGCCACCCAGGTATCCCCAATAAGTTAGAATTTGATGACTGTCCTGGGTGCTGTCAAGCACTAGCCATCTGCGATTGTCTCAGATGTGCTGATGGCATGTGACGCTTTGGTGCCCATGAAGGCAGCCCCTCTTCTGAGTATAGCATTTTGCCAATTGTATTCCTTTCACCTCCAAATCAACCCTTCTTTCTTCTATTCTTTCACTGCATATTCTTCCAATTTCTAGTGCCATCTGGTCCAGCCAGAAAACCTCCCAACATCCAGACTCCCTCTTGGAAAGGCCCTGCAGAGGGGGAAGCGGAGTCCATTTTGCTTTCCATACGTCTTGTCGAGATGTTCACTACCCAAGGCTCTCATTACACCCTTGAAGAAGGACTTTAGATGGGAGAGCTCACAGCCCTGCAGGTCCCGAGCTTTACCTGGCATCCTGCCATGGGGCCAGTCCCTTTGCCCAGGGTGAGTTTCAGCCATGCAGTTCTAGAACTTTTATAGTTCAGCACATCGGGCCCCAGAAACCTCTTGAGCTTTACCTGGATAGTTTCTTCAGGTCTCAGAGCTCCTCTGCAGGTAGATACCTCTAGGATGCAATAATTGTTGCTTCTGTACCTCCAACCAGGGGAATCCATTGGCTTGACCCACATCAGGAAATCTGATTAGCCTTCCCGGCAACTCTGAATTTCTTCTAATCACTTGTTTTTCCCATGTGTGTGGGTGATGTAGGAATGCTATGTCCAAAATACTGCCAGACACTATGCCAAGATCTATGCTGCTGAAGCACAGCCTCTGGAAGGCTTTGGAGAAGTGCCAGAGTAAGTGTGTTTATCCTCTCTTGTATCATCACCCCTGGTTTGTTGTGGATCTAGAGCACCTGGAGAGATGAGAGGATAAGAAAGACCAATAGGACAAGCATTTCACCTGAGCTTTCTGGCTGGGAGTTATGAGAACACACACACACGGCTCCTATCCTGTTCCTCACTAGGTTGCCAGAAGCTTATAGAGAGATACCTGATAAATATACTTTTTACAAAAGATTTTATTTTTATTTATTTATTTATTTATTTATTTATTTATTTATTTATTTCTTATCTTACTTGAGAGACAGAGAGTGAGGGAGAGAGCATGAGCAGAGTGGGAGGGGCAGAGGGAGAAGGAGAAGCAGACTCCCCACTGAGTAGGGAGCCTAATATGGGACTTGATACCAGGACCCTGGGATCACAACCTGAGCCAAAGGCAGACACTTAACCAACTGAGTCACCCAGGAGTCCTTAATAAGTATTCTTTAAATCAATGTATGGATGGACGGATGGAAAGAGGGATGGAAGGATGGGGAGATGGACGGATGGATGAATTCAATAAATGTATCGTATTAAATAGAAAAGAATTGGATAGAAAATGAATTGGATAAATGTATCGTGTTAAATAGAAGAGAAAGAGTGTCTACTTCGTGGATATTACATTATCCCAACAATAAGCAAGTACAAGAGAATACAAGAATATCACAAAACAATCACCCTATGATGAAAATAAAATACGATGCTGTGTCTAAGAAGAGTGACTTGGGTAGCAGCAGTGTAGGGACATGGTACCCACTTCCTGGAACCCCACAGAGACAAATAACATGGATTATTTTTATCTACTCATTGACTAAATATGTACTAACCCAAGCAGTTGTTTGGGTGTCTGCAGCTTGTGGTTGCTGGTCTGCTTATCTGGTTGAGATCGCATGTGTGTGTTCAAGTGGAAAAAGAAAGAGGTATGCCAGGGCACACTGGAAGTTTCAAACAAAACAGTCATTTGTGTATCAGTAGAAACTGGGAGAGGAAAGAAGGAAGGTGTTATTGCTTCCATGGACCCTGTCAGCTCACAAAGGGGGAAAAGTTCTCTCCCTGAGGTGGTGTGTTGGGCAGATCATATAGGAAGTCTAATGCTTTCTGCTCTATGCCAAGAATTGCCTAGCAGACTTACTTAGTACACAGACATTTCTTGGCAAGTTCTAGAACAATTTACATAATGCAAAGAAAATACACAATTGCCTTTCCGGTAAATCCACTAAGACGGCAATGTGGGGTGAGTTACAGTTTGTTATAGGAACTTGCACGTTCTCTTTCTTCTCCAGCCTCCTTTCTCAGTCTCTGCCCCCTTCAGTTCTTCTCAAAGAAGAAGAGGGTCAACCGGGTGAGCCGTCCACATGGGCAGAATGGCAGCACCCTCAGGTGGGGCACACCCAAGTTTTGCACAACAATTTGGGGGCTTTCTAAAGAGAACGACACAAAATTATGACTATAAAGATTGGTGCAGGGATCCCTGGGTGGCGCAGCGGTTTGGCGCCTGCCTTTGGCCCAGGGCGCGATCCTGGAGACCCGGGATCGAGTCCCACATCGGGCTCCCGGTGCATGGAGCCTGCTTCTCCCTCTGCCTGTGTCTCTGCCTCTCTCTCTCTCTCTCTGTGACTATCATAAATAAAAATAAAATAAATAAAATAAAATAAAATAAAATAAATAAAATAAAGATTGGTGCAGGGACTTGGAAAGGGCCTGTGCATGTGAGGGACACAGGGGCTAATTAGCATCATTGGCACCGCCCCAAATATGCCAGTGGCCTCAAGATAGATTAGGACATTTTGATGTGTAAACATCTTTCCCTTCCTTACGGTGGAAGAATTTGTGAGCGCATGAATAACATATGGAAGGATAGGTGTCCTCACAAAGTCACCTGCTCCTGAGTCCGTGTTCATTGAACCAAAATCAGAGGACTCTACACCAGGAAACACACATGCACACGCACACACACACGCACACACACACGCACACTGCCTTCTCAAGGCTTCTACACTTGAAACAATGTTAGAAAAGAGGAACGCAAGCAAGATTTTAGAGGAGATGGCACAGTGAGCGTGAGCATGTATGTGTTGGGGTGGGGACGATTCAGATACTTTTCAGCCTCGAGATGCTTCCGTGTGCAAGGACCATCAAGACACTTCCACCTGGGGGTGGAAGGAAGGAAGAGGCCCGTGGGAGAGGAGGTCCAGAGGCTGGATGCACTGAGACCAGGCCGAAAGGTGTTGCTACAGCCCAGGGACGGGGCAGTGGTAGTGGAACTTGGTCACTGGCCATGGGGAGTTGGGACATTCGGTAGGTCGGTGTAGTTAACAAAACTGATATAGGGCATAAGAAGGGAGAGGAGAAGGGATATAAATCCAAGGCTTTTAGCTCAGGAAACTAGTGAGATGACACTGCCACTGGAGCAGGGAGGGGGCCCGGGCAGGTGTGCAGTAAGGTGCGGAGTTAGCTCCGCATATGCCCAGTCTGAGGTGGGCGGGCACCGTGGCCCATCGGACTCCCACAGACAGTTCACCTGAGGCTGGAGCTGAAAGGGAAGGGAAGCAGTGAGCTGGTTTGCTGGACACGAGCGTGAAGGTGGCCATCGCAGCGGCGGAAAGGGTGGAGTCCTCTGGTAGAATGTAGAACAAGAAGAGAGGCCCAGGGGTGGAGCCCCGAGAAACGCGAGCACACGGGGGTCAGGGTATGTGGCGAGTACATGTCACCTCTCCCACGGGCCTCAGAGGCCAGCGCAGTGGAACGGCAGGCAGGAGGGGGCAGGGTCCCAGGGTCAAGGGGAGAGGGTCATTCCAGAGGGGGAAAAAGGGTCAATGCTCAGGAGGTGCAGAAAGACCCCAGGCAATCATTAAAAGCCATCAGATCGAGTGACCTTAGCGAGTGGGATTTTTTTAAAGGATTTATTTATTTATTTTTAGAGAGACAGAGACAGAGAACATGAGCGGGAGGGGCAGAGGGAGAGGGACAGAGAGTCTCAAGCAGACTCCATACTGAGCCCAGAGCCCAAAGTGGGGCTCAATCCCACAACCCTGAGATCATGACCTGAGCCCAAACCAAGAGTCGGACGCTTAACTGACCTCACCACCCAAGCGTCCCAGCAAGAGGGATTTTTGCAAACTGAAGGGTAAAGGATCAAAGAGGAAATTGGAATCGGGACCAAACCAAGGCATGGTTGCTCCTGCTGTGAGCAGTCGGTGAGGCGGATTCCCGCACAGCCCGTCACAGGCTCCGATGCAGTTTATTCCTTGCTCAGTGATAAATGGGAATGGCCAGTTGCGAGTTTGCATCCTTGCTCAATGCCAGGGTGAGTGCATTTAGGGAGTGAGAGGGGTGGGCAGAGCGTCCCTGGGCTGGACCTCCGGGGGCAGAATCAGGGGAGCTTCTGCCCAGGCAGGGTGAGGTCAAGAGAGGGCCTGATGTGGGACTCAGATGGGCTTGTGAGTGTGTGCGAGTGAGCGGGGTCTGCTAGGTGATGGGGTAGCCAAGTGGAGGGGATCCAGGTGTTCGCATGTCCCTCCCCCTTGCCTCCCGCTCCTCCAGCTTATTTCTACTCAGTCTTTGCAACTCAAGTCACACCACACGACATCTGGAGAGCCGCTCCCTTCCTCATTAGTTAGGAGCTGGGAGCAGGGTGCTCCTCCCTTCCCAGTGGTCGCCCTTGCAAAGCAGGGACTGTCTCTTTCATGCTTGCTTTCCTGGCGAGTTTTTGAGATTCTGACATAAGGTGCTCAGTAGACATTTGTTGAATGAAAAGAATGAGAGGGTGAGTTGCCAGTCACTGAGATGGGGCAGAGGTAGGAGTTTGGGGCACATGAGTGGTTCCATTTTGGCTATGTTAAATTCGAGACGCTGGGCCACCCGGGTGGCTCTGTTGGCTGAGCATCTGCCTTTGACTTGGGTCGTGATCCCAGGGTCCTGGGATTGGGTCCCACCTTGGGCTCCCTGCTCTTGCTTCTCCCTCTTTCTCTACCTCTCTCTCTCTGTCTCTCTGTCTCTCATAAATCAATCAATCTTTAAAAAAAATAAATTTGAGATGCCTGTTAGACATCAATCAAAGAGAGTAGGAGGCTGGAAATGTGAGTCAGGACCTCAGGGGAGAGGTCTGGGCTGGAGACATAACTATGGAACTCACCGACATGCAGACTGTATTTGATGCAAGGAGGTCACTAGCCAGTGTGGGCAGAGAGAGAAGAGCCATCCCAGGGCATGCCAGAGTCTAACAGTTGGGGGGAAATGAGGATCCAGCAAAGGAGACAAGAAAAGAAGTAGCTGGTGGAGCAGGAAGGAAACCAAGAGGAAGTTTCTGGAAGCAGTAAGAAGGTGCTTCAAGAGATCAGCGGTGTCCAGGGCCACTGAGAACAAGTAAGATGAAGGCTGAGAAGAGACCGGTAGACCCAGCCCCACGTGCTGCTGGAGACCTTGGCTGAAGCTGCATTAGAGGGAAAGCCTCCTTGGGCGGGTGCCAGAGAGAATGGGAGGGGACGGTTGTAGACAGTGAGACTACAACGATCTGAGCTTTGAGGTAAAACGGAGTCCGCAGTGGACTGGGCTGTGGAGTCAACCTGCTGCGTAGAGCTGTTTGGGCTTGTCGCTGTGCCCTGGCAGTGCTTCTGTGGAGGCAAAAGGTGATGGAGGAGGGTGGGAGCACCTACTTGGAGCAATAGCCATGAGCATTACAGGGGTTGGCCAGACCCAGGACACCAGTGGGACAAGCGGTACAGGTGGGAGCAAGGAGGCTTCGTCCATCGTGGGGTAGGGAGGCAGGAAGAGGGAGGTTACGCGGGCGCCGACCCCAGGAGGTTGAACTCTGTGCCGGTGGCAGCTCTTAGAGGCTCTCCTCTGTTTGAGGCTTCACAATGAAACAGGAAGCAGAGTCATCCACTGAGAGTGGGGTTGGGGAGGAGGTGCGGGCAGTGTGAGGAGGGAGGAGCAGGGGTGAAATAATCATCCGGGGGTGGGGGACGAATGGATCGTGCTGAAAACTGCATATTGGATGTGATCCCTTGTCCACTGGAGACACCATCACTGTTGTGCAGTGTGTTGCCTGGTCTTCCTGCCTCTGCCCCTGCACAGCCCCTTCTTCACAGAGCGACAGACTCCTCCATAACACAGGTGTGTGATCGTGGCACTCCTCTGTCCAAAACCCTCCAGTGGCTTTCTATCCAAATTGGTACAAAGGGCAGAGTTTCCAAATGGCCTTCCAAGACCCCACAAGGTCTGGCTTCCCGTTGCCTCCCTGTCCTCACCCACCCGCTCTCACCTCCCCTTTGCTAACTCTACTCCAGCCACACTGGCCCCTCCCTGTTCCTGGAGCACACCAAGGATGCTCCTGCCCCAGTGCCTTTTCCCTTTGTTGGTCCTTTTACTCGGAGCCATAGATACCCTCATGGGTCCCTATCTCCCTTCTACAGGTCCTGCTCAGACGTTCTTTCTTAGCAAGGCCTTCTCTGACCACCCTCAGTAAAATAGCAGCCCCTCCCTGCCCCCTGTGCTATGTAGCACCTTTCCACTGCTTTATTTTTTTCACATAGCACATTGCACTCTACATTTACTTATTTATTGCCTGCCTCCCTCATTTTAATGTGAGATCCTTGAGAGCAGAGCCTCTGTTTTCTTCACTGTTTCTGAATAGCATCTGGAAGACTATCTGACATAGCAACTACTGAAAGACTATTTGCTGACTGAATGGAAGGAAGGAAGGAAGGAAGGAAGGAAGGAAGGAAGGAAGGACATATGATGGGTGGATGAATGGCCAATGGGTCACGGGGGTATGACTGTAATGAAAACATTCATTTCTACATGGGCAATCAAACTCCATCCCAAGGAGGAGTTTCGGACCAACTCTAGGCCCAAATGAAAGACAGAAATATATCTTTTCACCTATGAACAATTGTTGTGGTCGAGGTCAGCCTGCGTCTAATGGAATCCGGGGATTTGTTCTGCAGCTCCCTGCTACCCCAAGTGAAGAGAGAATGCCCCTGGTCTCTATTTCCAGGTGAGAATGTGATGTGTGCCCATGCTGTCTTCCCTTCCAGGATAATTCCTATTTTTCTAATCCACCGACCTGAGAACAACATCCCTTATGCAACAGTGGAGGAGGAGCTGATTGGAGAATTTGTGAAGTATTCCATCAGGGATGGGAAGGAAATAAACTTCTTGAGAAGAGAATCGGAGGCCGGTCAGAAGTGTTGTACCTTCCAGCACTGGGTGTACCAGAAGACAAGTGGCTGCCTCCTGGTCACGGACATGCAGGGTGAGGAGAGCAGCCTGACCTGGGATCCAGGGATGCTGTGGGCCTGGAATGTTCCTAGGGATGTGGATGGGAGGAGAGGGAGAGATCTGCTGGATGCCCTTAAGCATCTTTATCAGCAGAAAGTGTTACCGATGTCTCATCAGAAACAAGGTCTGACAGAGGAGCCTGAAATGACCAGCCAGACAGAGTAATCAAGTACACTTTAATGACTTGCGCCAAGAATGCCTGCCTCTTACCGTAGGTAACCGAAGATTGGCTTTATTATTATATCCTCAACAGGTGCAATTCAGAAGTATCTAGAGAAATCTGGCTATACCAAAAGATAAATGAAGATCTAATAATTCATTTGTCACAGGTGAAAGGGTCTTTCACAGTTGGATTTCAAGCTTCCCTGGCTAGTTTACAGCATTTTCAATTTATATACAAATTGATGGGAATGCATTTCTCATATGAAGAGGGGATTTGATCATCAGGTTGCCCATAGAGGCTGCCCCGAGACAAGATGCAGTTTGGGGTTCCCTAAGACTATCTTCTGGTTCATTAATTTACTGGAAGGACTCACAAAACTCCGAAAATCCTTTACACTCATGGTTATGGTTTATTATAGTGAAAGGATACAGACTCAAATTAGCAAAAGGAAGAGGTTCGTGGGGCAGAGCCAGGGGGAGTTCAGGTGGGAACTTCCAGTTGTCCTGTCACAGTGGAGTCACGCAGACAGCACCTACTTCTCCCAGCAATGATGCATGGCAGCATGCGTGAAGAACTGCCTTCTAGAGAAGCTCACCCAAATCTTGGTGTCCAGAGTTTAATGGGGGTCTGTCACTTAGGCATAACTAGCCATAAGATGGTCCTTCGCCTCTAGCCTCTCCAGAGGTCAAGCTGGTACCCCACACCCAAGGCCCCAGGCAGATAACAGCTCTTACCCACTCTTTATGGGCAGGTCACTCCAGGGCTTAGAGGTTACCTCTCAGGAGTTAGGCAAGGATTAACTCTATTTGATTAATCCTTTCCTGCCCACAAGTGTTCAGGTACAAATATTGGAGAGGGGATCCCAGGAAACACTGGTAAGTGAGAGAACTGTGACAGGCAGTGGGAAGGCAGGCAGTAGGGTACCTATAATGTGGGTTACTGGAGCTCCTGCCTGCTGGGGAAACTCTGGGAGCCTGTGCAGAGCACACTTCTCAGAATCATCCCACCCAAGGAGAGAGGGAGCAGGGGTATTGATGCACCAACTGCCTTCAGCTACCCGTGGGAGGCTATTCCTGGTGGGGGTGTTAGTTCCCCTGCATTTGCCACCTGCACACAGGTGAGCCAAGCTGAGCAAAGCAGGCTCCTGCGATCAGAGAAAGTTCTCAGGCAAGAAATGTTGGTAGCACAGTGAGGTGGAGCCTGTGTGCACGGAAGCGGTTAGGGTGAGGGCAGTGGGCGGGGCGCCAGTAGTTTCTACCACAAGGGTTTTCCTTTTCCTCTTCCTTTCCAAATAATCATACTGTGAAGAAAAATCTGAACTGTAACTGTATGCCTGCTGTGTGTCAGACCTTGTCACATATGAGGATCTCCAGCTCTGTCTCCGGCCTGGTGGTGAAGGGCTAGCCTGCCTCCGGGTTCTGTTCCCACGGCTTCCTAGCTGTTAACCTTGGGCAAATAACTTCCCTCTCCGTGCCTCAGTACTTTACGTGGGGTTCTCGTGAGGGTTACACAGGTTGGGAAAGCATTTAGCACAGAACTGCCACATTATAAGTGCTCCCCAATTCTTTTAACTTTTTATTTTGAAATACCCATAGACACAAGGAGTTGTAAAAGTGTTTGGAGAGACCCCCCCTTTTCGTATGTATTCATTTTTTCCCCTGTAATTCTTGTTTGGTCTTCACGATGACCCTACAAGGAAGCCATTAGGATCCATTTTACAGATGAGAAAACAGAGGCTCAGGGACAGTGTTTTAATGGCCTTCTGTCACTCAGCTGATAGGCAGAGGGGTCTAAGACTCTACCCTGTGGTTTCCAACTCCCACACCCAAGCTCTTTCCACCAAACCACAAATTTACCAATTTGCAAGAGATTTCCAAGTGTCTCCTGAAGCTAAAGCTTACAGTGAGGACCTTCCTGAGGGTGCGGTGTTACAGTCTTGCCGATGGGGACAGTCTGCATATTGAAGGCAGCCATATCTGCTCACTTTCCAAAGAGAAGCCACTGCCACACGCACGCATGCGCACACGGACACACACACAAGGTCTTAACACATTCTAATTAGACTCCGGCTGTGGAAATCTGGATTCCCCCCTCCATCTATTCTTCTTCAGAGTTAATTTTGCAATAAGTATAGTTCTTCGATAGAAAAGCAACACCCCGGAGCTTCGTGCACAGCTAGTTTTGCTTCCAGGCACTTGTAAACAAGCCTAGTGGAATGTTACATCTCTCCGTAAATGCTGTGTGCTGTTTAATATCTTGGCACGGTGTACCTAGGGAAAATCTCTTCATTGTCATCATTGATGTGTAGAAGATGGCACATTCTTCTCTAAATAACCTCTACATTTTATAATTTTACGGAGACACTAGAATTAGGTTGAAAAAATCAAGCCAACCCAAACTCAACTGTTACCTTCTCAGACTCTTGAAAGCCATCCCCTCTCTCGTTGCATCTGCTTGTTGATGGGATTGTGGTGGGTTCTGCAAGCCTAGGGGTGAAAGCCTCTCCTGTGATTTGGCCCTGAGATCTGCCCACTGCTGAGGCCACTAGGGTTGTAAGAAGCCGTCACGCCAAAGACCCAAGAACTCAAGCTCTGGAGAGCAAGTTCCAGAGGCTGCTGCATCCTTCCTTCCTTCCTTTTATGGGAAACGACTCGTAGATGACTGTTATCCCCAACTCCACTTCATTGCAGCACACTGGAATTCAAATTATTATCCTATAGAGACTTTGGTTGAACTGCTGGCAAATTACTAAACTGAAACAGAGAAATTTCCTTTTCAAAATTGCATCCTATTTTTCTAAACCGTAAGTGATAGCTGATGATTGTGAGAGGCAGGAAAAGCAATTCCCAGGGTCAACGACCTTTTGCCAAATGACTTTTTAAAGCTGAACAAAAATTGCAGCTCAGAGCTGTGGTTTTTAAATACAAGTTTCCACAAAAAAACAAGATGTCCAAAGAGGGCTTTTACAATTTGGGGCCTTTTTTTTTTTTTTAAAGCACAGTCCTTGTAATAAAGGCTCCGTGAAGCCTTTCTGCATATGTTCTAGTTGTTAGCAGCTTTGCAAGAATGAGATGAATTAGTTGCCCACTGTGAACGAGGCTTTTAAAACGCTCACTGGCTCACTCAAAGTGCCGGGTCTGATTTAGCTCACAGGTGCACTGCAGAAAAGCACGGCTCGTTGCTTCTGTCTGACTAACCAGCCTGAATAGCAACATGGCCTGGATTTTTGCTGTGCTCCAGGCAGATGCTGCTGAATCAGAGCATTAACCCATTAGGGTTCCTTTCCCCGGCCTCCGAAAACAGTGCTCGGAAGAGCAGAGACCCTCAGATGGAGCTAGGTTGCCATCACACCTAACCTCAGTTGGCTTTGGAGAGGATGCTGGTTCCTTCATCCACAGCCTAGACTGGTTTCTGTGCTGTGCCCCCCTCCATGAGCGGGGCATCTGCCGGCCATAGGGAGCACAGCAACCCAGGCCTGGGTAGGACAAGAGTTAGGAGCTGGAGAGGAGGAGGCAAGCCTGACAGGCCAGCGGGGTAGCATGGGGGGAGCATGTGGATCCCATGCTCTGCCACAGCAGGCCTGTCACTGGATTGCACGAGTGAGCCTGAGGCAGAGGAGGCTGCCTGAGTTGGAGCCGGTACCCATAGCCACCACCCTGGAGAGACAGGAGCTGAACTGGGCCGTGATCTGGCAAGGAGAGTCTGGAAAGACCAGAGGCCATCCACACTCAGGGCGTCGGAAAGGTCTGTCTTCCTCCAAATCTGGAAGAGGCTGAGGATGCACAGGGAGATGGGGACAGGCTGGGAGCATGGCTCTCCTCTACCGCCCCAGGGGCTGGCAACTCTTGCCCTTCCCTGCCCTGCAAGACAGAAGGATCTCCCCTTTTCCGTGTATCCCTGGGTTCTTCAGTCGCTCTCCCGACCTGCTCCTGCCGGAGAAGCAGAAGCGAAAAGACTTCCATGTGCTTGGGATTCGTTCTGGGGCACTACGGCTCTTTGCTGAACCAGAGCTCAGAGCTCGGGTGGCTGTTTGGTTGTTCGCTGTTGGTGGCCACCCGCCACGATGGCGTAATGGGTGGAGGTCAAGATGGGTGTCAAAGGGTTAGACCATGGGGGCCATGTGTCAGCATCTTCAGGCCAGTGGTTAAAAGTTGACATGTAACTCGGGAGTGTTTCCCTTGGGCCTAAAGCCAACCCAGGAAATCTTCCATCCTCAATTGGGAAACCAACTCTATGGAGATGGGAAATCGCGTATCTGGAGTGTGGCTTTGAACTGAACAAATGCCATGTCGAACTTTCTTGCTGCTGACCTCTCCCACCCCAGCCCCTGGCCAGGCCCGCGCCCACACCACCGGCCTTGGTGTAAGGACTTCCACACTCAGTGATGAAGTGGAGTAGACTGAAGCCCCAGTCGGAGCATTTCTAGGGAGAGAGCTGGTGGGACAAGCGACAAACCTGAGTGGTTCGAGAGCTAGTGGCCTTCCTCCTCCAGCAGAGAGGGCGGCCAGACAGACAGAGGACGTCGTTTCTGAGCTACAAAGGGCTGGGGGCATCTGGGGCATCAGGCTCCACCGCTGGTGCCCATAAGACACAACTCCCCTAGGCCTCCGTCAGAGGCCAGCCCCCATTATCACCCCACCGAGCTGGGTGTACCTCTGAAAGGCTGTGGGTGCCCATAGAGAGAGGCCTCTGCTGGTGGAAGCAGGGAGGGAAGTGTGCTGATGTAGGAAAGGAAGCAAGGTGGGGCTGGCACTACCCCTTCCCGGAGAATAGATGGCCAGAGCCTCCCCAGGAGCTTTCCCGGTAACACAAATCCCATCTCTGCTCTCTCTTCCTATAGGCGTAGGAATGAAGTTAACGGACGTTGGCATAGCAACACTGGCTAAAGGGTGAGTAGAAAAAACCCCCAGCACAGATCGTTCCATCCTGAGCTTCCAAACACCTGCTGTGAAGCTGATGCGGGGAGGGGGGGGGGAGTAGATTTCTTGTCCTAACCACGGATGACGAATGTTCTTGGGACGAATTCAATTCACTTTTCTCACTTACATAAAATATTTATGGACTTCGTTCCCCCAGGGAAACACATTTGTTTCCTAACTTTGAAACAAACAAGGACTCTGGAAACACATTTCAAGATTAATCACTAACAGGAGGGCCGTGGAGGGTGGGGGGCAATGCCAGCATCTCTGGAATTTCTTTTAATTATGAACATTCCATTTTTCTGCCTTTCATATCTTCACTATTAGAAGCTTCTAATTTTTTTTTTTTTGGCATTTGAGTGTCCTGAATTCAATTTGCACATTTTCAATGTTCCCCCCCCCCCCAAAATCCCACCTTATCCTAAAAAGTCCTTCGGGCTGTTCCCACATTTCCCTGGAGGTGGTTCAAGGAGCGAACGGCTAGGGAGGAGCTGGGAGGAGCTCCCTTGGGGGTTGTGATGGCTGTTTCCCAGGTTGGTGTCGGGTATTGCTTTGTGCCAGGTGGGCGCTGCCTGGGCGGCCCCGTAACATCTTACTGACTTATCTCTTGAACAACTGTGGCTTCTCTCTGCTTTGCTGGAACCACCACTGAGGAGAAAGCAGGCAATCTGTGGTTCTTGGTGAGCATGAAGTTCTGCGTTGGAGCTGCCACTGCTTTTGCCCACTGCTGTTCCCATGTACTGAGACGGTCTGTTATGAGGACGAAGCGAGGGAGAGATGAGTTTTAGAAGGGATGGATGGCTTCTGTTTTGCTATTGTTCAGGTGTAGGGAGGCCAGTGCTTTTCTGGATCGAAGAGGAGACAATAGCCACTGAGAGGGGTTTGTTGCTCATGGTTCCCAAGAGGGCCAGGCCGTGGGGTCCATGTGGGGAAGCACCACGTAGGTCATTGCGGGGGCAGAGGAGTGTGGGGAAATGCGAGCAACAACTTTTGTTTGGTTTTCAAGGGAAGGAATGGGTGAGGCAGGGAAAGCCAGCTTGGAATTGGCTAGTTTGGAAAATGGCAGCAGGCTCTGGGGTGGAGAGGCTGTCCTCGTGGTCTGGCCCTGGTGCATCAGGGTAGGTGTGAGACCCCAGGAGAGGAGGTGGTGGGAACTGGCTTTGGACTGGTTAGTCTGCATATGAAGGCCAGTCATTTGCCATCTCCAGGACCTGGCTAGCCCTGGGAAGGGCGCTCTCTCCAGGGTGAGCAAGACCCCAGATGTCAAAGCATCAGAAATACAAAAACAAAAGGCAGGATGGATACAGCTTTCTGTCCTATGACTGCTGAGGACTTATCTGTGGGAGCTTTCTGGTGGTTTCAGACCACGGGCATCAGAGCTCTGCTTCCCACAGGTATACCCATTCCCACGTTAGCAAAGCAGCGTGAGAGAAACGCAGGGGGATATGAAAGAAGTAGAAAAGGGGCTTTGTGACCTCCAGATCGTCGACTGTGATTCAGAGTTCTCACGGACTCCGCAGCGCTTCTGGTTTGGGTTTCGAAGTAAGATGCAGCTTGGATAGTTTCCTTCTCAAAAGCGGCTCAGAATAATGCAGTTTTGTGCTGGGATTCTCTCCGCGCTCCGTCGGCGGTGCTGATGGGAGCCCCCTAAGTCAGATGAGCCCAGAAGTTTGGTTGTGGCCTTGGGCTTGTAAAGAGAGCACGTCAGGAGGGGCCCGATGCGGTGGGGAGAACGGGCTGTAGAGGGAGACTTGGGTTCAAACCTTGAAGCCCTTGACTTCTTCTTCTTCTTTTTTAAAAAATTTATTTATTTATTCATGAGAGGGACACTTAGAGAGGCAGAGACAGGCAGAGGGAGAAGCAGGCTCCCCACAGGGAACCTGATGCGGGACTTGATCCCGGGACCCCTGGGTCACGCCCTGGGCCGAAGGCAGATGCTCAACCACTGAGCCACCCCTCATGCCTTTACTTCGGACTCTCCCGGGGCAGCCTGGCCCCTTGCGTTACAGGCACTAGTGTGGCCCGTGGGGTGGGTGAGGGTGCATCCCGGTGTGTGCAGGATGGTGCCATTTCATGCCTGCTGTCCTGGCCTCCATCTAGTTAGTCATTTGTCCTGCACAATGTTCTCCACTTAGGAAATAAATTATATGGTGCTGCTCTTTATGAAGGGATTTCTCTGGACCTCAGAAACATTTCCCCAGTAAAGCAGATTCCCATGTTCTCCGTGGTTCAGAGCAAATTCAGCATCAAGCCTACCTGCTTTGAATGCTGGGTTCTCATCTTACCAGCTATGGGGTCATGTGACTTCAAAAACTTTTTTTAATGATTTTATTTATTTATTTGAGAGAGAGAGTGGAGGGAGCATGTGAGCAGAGGGAGGAACAGAGGAGGAGGGAGCGGGCCAAGCTGACTCCCTGCGCAGCACAGAGCCCAACACGGGGCTCCATCCCACAGCCTGAGATCATGACCCAAGCAGGTGCCAAAAAGTGGAAGCCTAATGACTGGGCCACCCAGGCGCCCCTGGTCACGTGGCTTTACGTTCTGGAAGCCACTTATCCACAGAATGGGGACACAGAGCACTGTCTGGAGGATCCCCCCCACCCCCACCCCCCGTTAATCTGCCTCCAGGCCCTGAAGCTCAGTATGCACACGATAATAAATATCGGTTTCCTTTCCTCCTCAGCCTGACACCAGACTGGGCAAAATTCGTACCATTCTTCAGAACAACTTTCTACCAAAACAAAACAGAAACCTGCTCAAGTAGTTTCAAAAACTAAGACAAATGTAAGAGCATGATTATTTAAGATATCTTTTAAGAGCATCTTAACAGTTTCCGGGAACTCATTGCACATTTTTTTCTCCTAATTTGAAAAGAAATCCAATCCCTTGGTTTTGTTCTCAGCTTTAATGTAACTTGTCTGGCCTGGGACAGCTGCCCAAGACCCATTAGAAGAGCAGATGGCTGGAGCCCAGTGCAAAATGTTGTCTATAAAGTGTTACTTACGGCTTTTCCTCCCCAGCAGTGATCAGGGAGGAGGAGATGGGGAGAGAAGGGAGTTCTGAAGCATCTGAGAGTTTTGGAAAGGATATTAGATCATCTTGTCCATTGTTTTTATTTATTTATTTATTTATTTACTTATTTATTTATGTCCATTGTTTTTAAAAAGCTTTTCCTTAAACTTTTCCCAAGTCACAATTTTTCCCCCAAAGAAGCATTTCTTAGAAGCTCAGTTTAAAAAGGGAGATGGAAGGGAGAACCCTGGATTGGAAAGTAAGGAGTGGTTGAGAGAGCTCTTCGGAGGCCCCTGGGAACCCCTCTGCTCTGGATTGAGAACCAACAACCATGTGCAGCCTTCTTTCCAAGTGAGGAGCAAGAGGTGCCGAGAAATGGCCATGCCGCCTGCAGGCAGGCGCTGTGTGAAGGAAGGCACCCCTGAGCCAAGGGCAGACCCTCCATGTCCGGAGCTGAGAATCAGCTGAAGAGACTCTCCAGTGAAAGCCAGAGCTGCCACATGGAGCTCAAAAGGGGAGAGCCTGAAAAAGGGTTCTGGTTCAAAGGCAGCTCGAAGACTGGGCTGAGAGAGTCCAGGTGGGGAGGATCGTGGCGGGGGGAGAGAAGGCTGGGGAGCACTGTAAATGCCAGAGGGCTTCAGGAGAGCAGGAGAGAGGATTGATGGCCAAGCGTCCAATACGCACTGTCTTAGCAAGCACCCCAGGGGGGCTTAGTTCATCTGCTGGAGAGGGAGGAGCCTGGGGAAGGGGCACCATCCTAAAAAGCAATGTTCCATGTAGGCAGCATTACACACAGTCTTTTAACCACATTAGAAAGAGCACAAGGCATGGATGATGGGAGAAGCACTGGAGGCCAGTCTGACTTATTTTACTACTACTACTAAACAGGGCTCCTGGCTGGCTCACTGTGAAAGGCATGTGACTCTTGATCTTGGGGTTGTGAGTTCAAGACCCACCTTGGGCATAGAGATTACTGAAAAAAACCCAAACATTTTTTAAAAATAATAAACACTGCATTGTATTGTTTAAACCAGCAAGAAAAAGATCTCCCAGATTTAGGGCCCACCTTTTCCGGTCAGCAGTGGTCAGGATCTTTTGCAGGAAGAGAAGCTATTGTGTCACCGAAAGAAAATATTCCCCTTTTGTCTCAATCTGCTCCATATAACTGGCTGCTGACATTCCAGTAAGTGCAACCTGTCTCGTCCTCTTGTTTAGTGAAGGCAGAGGGTATGTTACTATGTTGAGGGCAGTTATTTACAATCTCATGAAATAAAATAGGGGCTGTCAGGACTTATTTGTTTTGATGCAACTTTGCCTGCAAGGGCCCGTGGAATTTTCTCCAGAATAGACCACATACTGGGTCACAAATCAGGCCTCAATGGATACCTAAAGATTGGGATTGTCCCCTGATATTTTCAGACCACAATGCTTTTGAAACTAGAACTAAATCACAAGAAGAAATTTGAAAAGAAACTCAAATGTAAATGATCCTTAAAGCAGAAGTATGTCATATTTCTCCTGGGAGCCAGAGATAGGAATAGGTCTGGAAACACATCACCTGTACCTCGGTACCCATAATCTTTCAGCAGTGGTGAGTGCAAAAACTTCAAGTCACGAAGCATGGCAAATAGCACTGTTACAACTTCTAGCAACCCATTTTCTAGGCAGACCCAAGATGCTGACGGGACAGCTGAGTATTTTTCCAATTTGAAATTGCTTGGCCATTTAGAGTTCTTTGAAGGGGGAAAAAGGAGAAATGCCTACTTCTATAACTGGAGATTTAGAAATTCAACGTCACCAAACCAAAACCGGTGTAAACCCATGCACGCAGGGGAGCAGAGGGGCAGGTGTCGCAGTAGGTCCTGCAAACCCAGGCCCCTCCCCAGCCACCAGTGAGTTTCTGGGGAGATGGCGTGATTGTGATTAGCCACCAGAGGGCACCAGAGCCAATACGTTTT